GTTTTTTTAATTTTTAAAAGATTTATTTTAATTTTTAAAATTATCATACTGATTGAGTCAGTTGTGCAGAATGACCAAAAGTTTTTTTCTCCTTCAAATTATATATAAAAATTAATTTTAAATATAATGTATATATTTAATAAAATATTTATTTATATAATTTATTATAAAATTTAATTATATATAATAAATATCTAACATGTGAAAAATTACTAGTTTTAGTAATGATACTAGACATTGCTCTCTTATCTATTATAACAAAAAAAACATTTTTTTTAACTATAAACAAATTTTAATTACTTTTGTTTTATTTAATGATATTTCTCTAAAATATCACATTTTTCATGTATGACACTACTTTTAAAATTTATAATAAGGATAATTTAAGAAGAATATTATAAAAAAATTAATATAGATAATTAACTTTATTAAAATATGTAAAATCAATTTTTTTATAATAAAAAATAGAAGGAATACACATTCATTTATCATTTTTTTTGGGTCATATCATATCCTTTATTTCTCTTATTAGCAAAAAAAAAAAGTTATTATTTCTGCATTCTATTTCTTTATTTTTTCTAGGTGTTGATGAAGACATGAGAGTGTTTATACTTTATACCAAAGTCTATCAACAAAGCCCAAACACCTTATTCTCGCATACTGTTCAGTAAGCATCAATAACTTCACAGATGTCGTGGGCTTGTTGGGCCTTAGCGAAAATTGTTGCGGTTAACGAATGTCTATCTAGTTTGGCGTTTTGGAAGAAAAGTTGGGCGTGCATGGAATGTTTCTGCTTTCTCTAACGTGATACGATGGGATTTATAGTTTAAGCGCCGCCATATCTCTCTCTAATGTTGATCTTATTCATACACTAACACAATCTTTCATTACATTCTGTTTCCTCTTGCTATATATACTATTGTATCACGTTTCCACGTGTTTTAATTTTTAATACTAACAAAGCGTTCATGACTTTTTCTTCATCTCATTCTTCCATTCCCTCGACTATACGATGCCCGTCATACTTGAAACACTCGTATTGTATCACAACTCGGTGAAATTCCACTCTTCTCCCACCTACTTCTTCATTGCTTAAGATCCATCGCCATTCACCAACACCAACCCACATCTCTTAGTTATTACATTACATGCATGGCTCATTTGGTTTATGATGAAACTCCCTCTTTTGGAGCTGCAAACCATGGACAGGCTCAACAACTTATTCCGTTTCAAACCACTTCGAATTCCTTAAGGATCCTTCTCTTGCATGGAAACTTGGAAATATGGATCTACCACGCCAGAAACCTTCCCAACATGGACGTGTTTCACAAGACACCGGGAGAAATGGTTTCCATGTTATCTCGAAAACTTGGCGGCAAAAGCGAAAGTCGTAAGTCCAAAAGTGGAACCAGTGATCCATATGTTACGGTTTCTGTGGCTGGTGCTGTCATTGCCAGAACTTTTGTCATCAACGACGATGAAAACCCTGTGTGGACGCAACACTTCAACGTCCCCGTTGCACATCATGCTTCTGAAGTCCACTTTGTTGTTAAGGACTGTGATATTTTGGGTTCTGAGGTTATTGGAGCCGTGGGGATTCCAGTGGAACAGTTATGTGGGGGTGCAAAAGTTGAAGGCTTTTTCCCCATCCTTAACTCTAGCGGAAAACCCTGCAAGGATGGATCAGTGTTGAGTTTATCCATTCAGTACACCCCTGTTCAAAATGTGCCTCTTTATATCGATGGAGTAGGTGCTGGTCCTGATTATGAAGGGGTACCTGGTACCTATTTTCCCCTGAGGAAAGGTGGAAATGTTACTCTTTATCAGGATGCTCATGTTCATGAAGGTTGCCTTCCCAGTTTGGAGATGGATGGTGATGTGAATTATGAGCATAGAAGTTGTTGGCATGACATCTATGATGCAATAAGTCAGGCTCGTCGATTGGTTTATATTGTGGGGTGGTCTGTGTACTATAATGTTAGTCTCATTCGGGATAGGGATGATGGAAAGGGTTACACTTTAGGTGAACTTCTCAAAGCTAAATCACAGGAAGGTGTCCGAGTGCTGCTCCTTGTGTGGGATGATCCCACTTCTAGAAGCATGCTTGGATATAAAACGGTAATCTACTTTAAATAATTGTTCTATTTATGTTTTCTTTTCATAAATATCATCTCAAAACTGACAATTAGGAATTAATCAGTGTTCTGGTTGGCTTCGGTTGACCTCATGCTTTATACATTTCTTTATGCATAGTTCAGCCATTAGTTTGTGTGAGGTTGGAAAACAAATCACAAGCTGAGTGAGTGCCTAGTTATAGATAGAAAAATGCTAAACAGTACTTCGAGGTCACTAGTTGAGAAATAAAAAATAAAAAGCTTTTATTGAAAATTTTATCTACATATTCTCATATAATTTTATTATAATTCTAGTAAATATTGATTCCTTAACCAACATTTTTAGTGCGCTGGTTAGTAATACCCTTATTATAGATAATCACATTGGGAGAATATGGTGAACCAATATTTGAATTCATGCTAGAGGGGTGTCTACATTTAGTGTTCACGGTGTTTCAAACATAATTACTTTCGAAGGAAGATACTCGTGAGAAAAACACATTTGGCATCCTGTAGTATAGTAGTACCATTTTTTGTTTTCTTTTTTATGTCAGTTTCATGTTCGGAAGGCATGCTTACTGTTCTTGATTACTCTTTGAATCAGATAATAGTATGTAACTAGTTGCTCACTTCTATCATCGACTTACTGTGATACGTAGGTTGGACTTATGAACACTCATGATGAGGACACTCGCCGATTTTTCAAGCACTCTTCTGTGCGTGTGCTTCTTTGCCCTCGATCTGGTGGAAAAGGACACAGCTGGGTCAAAAAGCAGGTATTAGGAAATACCATATTCACATGTCTAACTACTTGTGTATATTTATAGTCTATAAAGGTTAAAGTTAAATGATCTCTATCGTAGTTTATACTTTTTTTGCACATCTTTTGTCCAAAAAATCAGAAGGGATATTTTAATGCTCAGCTGTATATATAGATATTTTATTTAAAACAATTAGTGTTTTGCTTTATACTTAATTGTTAGGAAGCTGGAACAATTTATACCCATCATCAGAAGACTGTCATTGTAGATGCAGATGCAGGTGAGAATAAAAGAAAGATTATAGCTTTCATCGGAGGTCTTGATTTATGTGTGGGTCGATATGATACCCCAAACCATCCCATCTTTAGGACTTTGCAGACAACACACAAACATGACTTTCATAATCCAAACTATGAGGTAAATCAGCCTCTTTTTTTTTTTTTTTTTTTTTGTAATATCCATTAGTTTCCAATTGAGAATATTGTGTGAATGTATTGGAGGGACAGAGCTAGGTATCATCTATTTTTATTTGCGTTAGCATTCTCCACATTTTTAAATTTTAACGGACAAATTCAAGGACCACTTTTCCTTTTGCTTTAATTTTACTTTTGGTTCTTGTACCAATGCTAAATTCGAATTTGTTTCCCTTATTTGTTTTCACAAATTTGATTCTCATTAATATAATTTTAGTTCATCCATAAATTTATTTTAATGACTAATGTTAACGTCACATTTTACCACACTATAAGATCAATACATCTATATTGACGTGACACTTAATTACACTAGTATATATATCAACATTTTAGTTAAATATTAGATATGGAGTTAATGTATAGATCAAAATTACATAATTAAAATAATAAGAAAGCAAATTTACAGGAAAGAAAAAAGAAAAGATCAAATTTGAATTTCAATGTTAGTGGCCGGGAGAGGAGGAAAAAAAGTGCATTTAAGTCATTCTTTTTCAAAGGAATAAAAGAGTTTTGTGATTGAGCATACATAATCAATTTCAAAATTCATAATCATTATGTTGTCATTTGTAGTACGTTCTAATTGTTTTGTTTGTGTTTGTGTTTGTATAATAATAAATAGGGGTCTGTTACTGGTTGTCCAAGACAACCATGGCATGATTTGCATTCACAAGTTGATGGTCCAGCAGCATATGACATCCTCACCAATTTTGAGGAGCGTTGGTTAAGGGCATTAAAAATACATAAACTTCAAAAGATGAAAGGTTCACATGACGATTCCTTACTTAAAATTGATAGAATCCCTGACATTGTTGGCATTGATGAAGTTCCTTGCCTAGATGAAGATAACCAGGAGACATGGCATGTCCAGGTATATCATTGATTGTGTTGGAAATAGATGAATTAATTCATGCCCCCTATTTCTAATAGAATTCTTACTCTCTATGATATGATATGAGAAACTAGTTCAATATCAATTGTGTATCCCTTTGATTATCTCTTCAATTCTTCTAAATGAAGGTCTTCCGTTCAATTGATTCCAATTCTGTGAAAGGATTTCCAAAGGAACCAACAGATGCCATAAGAATGGTGAAGTGACTTTCTTCTGAAAATTTACCTTATTGTGAGGAAAACTGCTAAATTAATTGCATTTATTTCATTTAACAGAACTTGGTTTGTGGAAAGAATGTGATGATAGACATGAGCATACATTCTGCGTATGTCAAGGCAATTCGAGCAGCCCAAAAGTTCATCTATATCGAGAACCAATACTTTATTGGCTCATCATACAATTGGGATACTTACAAAGATCTTGGTGAGTATTGAGCTCTGAGCCCAAAGTTTAAAATAACTTTTCTTAAGAATGACAAAAGGACAAGACATAGAAAAATTATAAAGTTGTATCATATTCAGTACCAGCAAAAATGTTGCATGGAGCTTCTTTTAACAAGACAGTGATTAGTTATAATATAAGTCCTGATTATTAAACTTCTTTTACATTGTATGTTGCAACAGGCATCTTGTTATATATATATATATATATATATATATATTAATATTTTTCACTTTACATCACAGGTGCAAACAACTTAATTCCAATGGAAATTGCATTGAAAATAGCCGAAAAAATCAAACAAAATGAGAGATTCTCTGTGTATATTGTCATTCCTATGTGGCCTGAAGGTGTACCTACAAGTACAGCTACTCAGCGGATTCTCTTTTGGCAGGTAGGCTTCCTTTACCTCTTAAAATGTTGCCATATGAGACAAATCATAAAAACCTTATTGGCTGGACGATGAACATGCCTGATTAATTACAAGTTTGAAAAAACTTGAGTTTTTTTTTTTTTTTTTTCTAATAGAGAAGCTTTCAAAAACACTTATAATTTATCCAAAAAAGTTTTAGGAAGATTTGGTGTTCAAAAATTGGTCTCAAGCCAAAGAAACTGCTGATGTGCTTCATATTGTCTATCTAATGATCTTAATTCATAAAAGCACAGATATATATTTTGCATTGCTGAAAAGGCTCATTATTTGCTGCCAGGATCTCATGGCAGTTATATCACGTTTATCATTTAAGATAATATGAAAAAATATCCTAGATAACATAATGTTATTATGGGTTCAGCTGTGTGTTTATCTCACATGCTCATATTGATTTTTTGGCAGTACAAAACAATGGAAATGATGTATGAAACGATTTACAAGGCCTTACAAGAGGCCGGGCTTGACAATGAGTATGAACCACAGGACTACTTGAATTTCTTTTGCCTCGGTAATCGTGAGATCCCTGACGATGGAAATGCTTCAAATGTTGCAAATCCTACTGGAGATAGGCCTCAGGTATTTTTTTACACTCTCGAATAAAATTTATGTTTTTAACTTGTCTGGATATCTCATTGCCTCGATATCATTCGTGTTTGCACGTTGGTAACCTAGAAACTCACTAAAAAGAACCGGAGATTCATGATTTATGTTCATTCAAAAGGAATGATAGTGGATGATGAATACGTGTTACTGGGGTCTGCAAACATAAACCAACGATCCTTGGAAGGCACCAGAGACACAGAGATAGCAATGGGAGCATATCAGCCTAATCATACTTGGGCAATGAAGCAATCTAAACCTAGTGGGCAGGTAAGATTTATAAAAGTTATTAGTACTTTTCTTTGACAAAAAATTTGGAGAGAAATTGTTGGTTGTACTTATAATTATAGAATGGTATAATGCAACCGACAGAGGTTGCATCACATGGTAAACCAATGTTTGAATTCTCGTGCTCATGTTTAGTGTCTGAGCGTGTGTAAAATAAAATTATCCCCAAAAGAGATTACTTGTGAAGAAAAAAAAAAGAATGATACAACGCCCTTGAATTGATCATAATTTAGAGGTTTAAGGTAGCTTATCATTCACATATACATAAAACAACGTAGACTCTAACTATAATGTGGAAGGAAAAAAAGAGAGAAAAGTGAAGCCTTTTAAGCATGATAAGCATTTTCAAGGGAGAGTAATTGTTATTTGTTGTAAGGCATATCCTACATATGAGAGCCGATCAAATACATTTGGTTCGATTCTCATCTTTATGAAAATAATGTTTGGTTCTTATCTAAATGCAGATCCTGACATACTAAGAAAGCTCTATGATAATTTTCCTTTACATGATTCTTGCTATTGAAATTAAATAAACAATTTGGATTTGTTTTGGCTAACTAGGAGAATTGTGTTATGTTTTTGTACTTGTTCAGGTGTATGGTTATAGAATGTCACTATGGAGCGAACATATAGGAGGCGTAGAAGAATGTTTTGAGGAACCAGAGAGCCTTGAATGTGTAAGACGAATAAGGTCATTGAGTGAGTCTAACTGGAGACAATACATGGCTGAAGAGGTAACTGAAATGGAAAGCCATCTGTTAAAATATCCTCTTGAAGTTGATTCAAAAGGTAAGGTGAATCCTATTCTTGGCTGTGAGACATTCCCAGACGTCGGTGGCAACATAAGTGGCACTTTTACTCTGCTCAAAGAAAATCTCACTATCTGATAGATCATTTATGTTAGTTCTCAAACTCAGTCAATAATATTTAATTAGATTCTTTACGATATTCAGGGCATCTTCAATGGATGGAAGCAACTTATTTGAGTTGTTTCATGCATTGAAAAATAAAATAAGTAGTCTTGAGTGTTTCATGTTAGCATTAAGCAACTCAAACACAAATTTACTTTAATGGTAAGAAACTTTAAGAAATTCAATTTTTAGAATTTTTTTCTAATCATTTATGAACCAAATTTTAATTCTTATTAAAAAAAATAATTGCACTATAATGAAAGAAAATAAATTACGAGAAAAAATACACAATAAGTAGATATTAAAAATAAAATAAAACAATAGTAAATACATAAATATTATACGAAATTAATTTTCATTATTATTATTTTCGAAACGTTCCCAAATATGTTCAATAAAATCTGCTTGAAATCTGGTAAGGGACGGTTGCTCGAGGAAACAATTCTCTCTCTTCTTCAAGCAATTTATGTTGCCACGTGTCCTCCAATGACAAGAAACCGAGACTTGAGTTACTCCATGGAACAAGTAACTCTCATTATTGGAGTTGCTCTTAAATTCTTTTTTGTAAAACAAAATAAATAATAAGGAGTGTATAGGTTTGAACTTATAACCTAATGTGAAGTACTAGTTTATTTTCAATGACTTAGGATTTAATGTAGTATAAAAGACCAACTTTTCTATTTTTGGATTGAATAAAATAACAAATTTGTTTTTTCTATTTAATTTATTAATGTAATAGTTATCTTGATAAGATAAATAGTTAAATACTAGGATAATAAATCACTTTTAATTTATTAATGTAAGGTCATAGTTGTGTTGATAAATAGTTAACCGACTTAGGTTGGCTTACTAGATTGCAGTTTGTGTCTCTTAACCAAAATGTTTCGAGTTTGGATTTGTCTTAAATATGAAATAAATTATATTAGGAGGAAAATACTCATTTTGTGTGTACTCACGGTTCCTAATAAAAATTAATCATTATTTTCGACCGTGGATATTTCATATTAATACCATAGTTATATATTAAAAAAAAAAAAACTTAGGTTACCAGGAGTGACGAAGGACTCACACTACACATATTTGGGATTTATCAAACTTTTGAGAAAGATTGTCTCGTGTTCGACAGAAAATATTGTTTGATAATGAAAAATAATAGTTAAATACTAGGATAATAAATCACTAGGATGTTAGTGATGAAGGGGTTGGGATAGTATGGGAAGGACTTTAAGTTTAAATATTAGTGTGATCATTGTAACTCTAATAGATAAAAAAAGATATTACGATAATTTTTTTTTCCAAGTGTTAATGAAAAATGATACTTCATCCATCCTATAATAAGTATTGTATTTAAAGAAAAAAAAATAAGTGTTATGATAGTTTTTCAATGTAGTATTAATTGATTTTTAAAGTAGTATTAATAATCTCTTTTCTATTTATACCTCTCATAATATTTTTTAGAAAATGATTATTGTGTTGTGTTATTTTAAAAAAATAATTATAAAGTTTTAATTTTATAAAATTACTATTATCTTTTATTTATTTATTAATTTTTCTTAGTCTGAATAAAATAAACTAAAATGATACTTATTTTGGAATAGAAGGAGTAATATTTTCTATTATCCAATTGAAAAAAGAAATTGATTACATGATGCGATCAAGATAACACTATTACATTTTACTTCTTTAATAACATTTACCTACTTACATTTATTAAAATGTTACCATAAATTGAATAAATAGGTTATTTTGTAATTTTTTTTTCCTAAAAATATTACTATAGATAGAATAACATTTTTTTTATCTCAATATTATTCTTTCTAATTATTTTCAAAATTAAAGTATCACATCAAGTAAAAAAATGTCACATAAAGATTACACTTCTCTAATCTCTAATTATTTTCCAAAATTAAAGTCATACATCAAATAAATGAATGACATAAAGAGCATATATAATCATTGAGATACACTTAAAATAAATAAACTTTGATATTTAATATAGAGGTGGTGACTAATTAAGAAAGTTTTTGATCTTAAAAAACTTGTAAAAAATTAGGAGGCATAAAGTATAATTGTTAACAATATTTATAATAAAACTAATTATTATTTTATAAAATTAACTAAAATTTAGTAATATTATTAAAATATTATAAAAATATTACTTCGATAACATTTAAAAAATATTGTTTAATTATATAAAATGTTATTAAAAGTCTTTAATAATATATACTATATACATCATTTGATAATATATTGTAAAAATGTATTACTAATATTTATATATAATAAAATAATATTTTAAAAATATTATAATTTTTTTTTTTGTTGTAATGTAAGTGTAACTGATTATTGCAAGTAATAGTGAAATGGTAAGAACCGAATATCTTTCCAGCCAGTTCATAAAGGTAAATTTTAATAGGATTTGGATTTAATTTGCTTAGAGAAACAATAATTAAATTAAAGAAAATAATTAGGATTTATGTTGGAAATTTTATTTTAAATAAAAGAACACGAGAGATATATTTAATACAATTGATCAAAGTGTTGGAATCAAGTTTCATTCTCATCTGTAAGTTTTTAAAATTAGGATTATTTCAATTTAATTTTCTAATTCGTATCAGATTCACTTATTTATTTAGATTCTTTTTTTTTTGTTGGTGACGCATTTATTTATATTCTAATTTCGTAGATAAATAAATTTTTATTCATATAAAAAATTCTAATTTAATTAGGTGAAATTGAAGAGGACAGGCTGAAAATTAAGAGTCCCAAAGGGAGCATGTGTTCAATGACTATTCGTAGTCTAAAGGTTCAATATTCAGATTATCATTTAACATACAAATAAAAATTCATCGGTCCATTCCTAATTAAAATACATTAAGAACGAAAAATATGCAGACGAAATACAAAGAAATCAAATTTTATTAATCCCTCAAATCAAAGTTCATACTATTTATTAAAATTCATACATCCTTAATAAAAGAGAATTTAGCTAAATATAAAGATGATACACACAGAAAATAGAACGAATATATATATATATATATATAAGGGAGTTATAATTACATCGGTATAATTTTTACTAAGTATTACACTGCTCAATAACTTTATATTAAATGTAAATTTTGTAAATTCAATCGTTAGATTGAAAGTTCATATCTCTTAAATCATATATATACAAAATTTTATATTAATCTAAGATGATTTAATACTTATTTTTATAAAACAAAATTGAATAATATATTCATTTCAAAATACACTAAAATATAAATACTTTGATTATCTTCAAGTTGTTGTTTAATTTTAATAATATTTTAGTGGGAGCAACTATCCGACTACGTTGAACCTAGATCCGTCGTTATGAGATAATATATACAAAATCAAATTTAAACTTTATTATTTTTTATTAAAAAATCAATTTTGACTTGAGTTCTAAAAGAATATGAAAAAGTCCTATATTAAAGAGATGAAGCAGGGAAAATTAAAAAAGTATAGCTGGTTTAGTTTGAACTTTGAAGGCTGCCTCTGACCGTACATATTTTTCCCCCACATTAGTAGAATAAATTAAAATATTATGAAGGACGGTTTCATCGTAATTTTAATTTTGAAAATGAGATTACTAATTATGATTTGAGAAGACAGTCCATCGCAAATTTAGACGTGTCATCTAAAATTTAATTCTGCTGTGGCGTGTCTGTGCATGTATATGAGCACGACAATAAAATATGAACCAACAAATACCCACAACACGTTTCATGTCACATACATTCAATTTTTCAATTCTCACAGTTAATTTGCTGTTTAATTATTCCCACTTGTTTCACCAATGCGCCTTATTGAAAAAATGCATATTTCATGAGCGCCACATATCACATCACGTGTATGTCAATTTTTTGTTAATCATATATACTACCACATTAGTAAGAATTTTACATATTACACATCTATTTACACGTGCATAGAAAATATGAAGAAAAAAATACAATTAAAAACTATTTAAAATATTATTTTATTAATATTTAAAATATAAAATATGCGGAACATACATTTAATTTTAAAAATTTTGAAATTTAATTTAATTGATGAAAACATTAATGGTGATTTTTAAAATAGACCGTTACCTTTAATTTTAGAGTTAATCATTTATATACTGTTGTTTTAAACCAACAACCAATCATATCTTTTAATAATGTCATGTCACTTGCTTATTTAATGAATTAAAAATAAAATAAAATAATTTAAAAGATATGATTGATTGCTAGTAAAAAAACTTTACGCCGACAGTGGATGGATGATTAACTCTTAATTTTAATTAAAATTTGAGAATCAATTCAAATGATTTAAAAATTATAAAAAATATTTTTGGCAATATAGTCAATTAAACAAAATCTTAATTTAATATAAAATTCTTTCAGATATATGTTAATTAAAAAATTGAGAATCGTGAAATAAAATAATGATATAATAGAGGAAAAAATATGATAAAAAATGTTACATGATATGATAGTAAAAATAAAATATAAATGTAAAAGTGAATTACAAGAAAGTATCGTGAGTGTGGTGGCAGAAGAACGTGCGTGAAAAAGGAGAAGATAGTCCATGGAAGCAAAAGAAGAAAATTATCAAATTAAGATTCCTTGTTAAAAATCAGATTAAATTAATCGATATAATTTTAATTCCATATATATTATTTTAATTTCTTACATTTTAATTAAATGAATTAAGTTCATTAAATAGTCTCTTTGTAAATCTTTCGTTAAAAACTTAATAGTTTTTATTGATATAATTTTACTATGACATGATACGTAATTAGGTGAATCACACAAACATGTGTTATGTGAATAAAAAGTTAAAAATTATAAAAATATAAAAAAAAAATGGAAATTGAACTTGGACTTTTAAGTCCAATAATAACACTTAAGATAACATACTACATTAAGATTATAAACGATTTTAAAATACTTTTTATCGTTAAAAAAGATTTATGGTACAATCAAGACTTTTTTTAATATAATTTTTTTTATAATATTCAATTAAGATAATTTTTTTAATAGCATGTTAAAATTTTTTCATATTAAGACTTTTTCATTTTAAAAAAAGTT